AAAAAATAAAGGGATGACATATTAATAGGAAATGACTCACGTTTAATAAAATGAAGTCACAATTGATCCCCGGCTGAAGAGTCAACTGAATATGACATACAATGAGATTGTGTTGCAATCAATTGGTTTGCAAATTATTTATTCTTGTATTCATTTTCATATACAATACAATCTATAGTTGTATTCAAACAATACTCGTATTAATTAAATATTAAAACTGTTTATGAGTTGAGAAGAGATGTAAAGAGAGAGTGAGAAGCCATAGAAGAAGGAGTGGAAGAAGTGGTGCACGAGTTGTGAGGATATTGTGGTAAACATTGCAATCGTTGTGTTCAGACTCTATGGCAATGTTTGAGTCTGTTATGTATGTAATGCTGGGATCAGTGTATGAATGGCTTTGCCTTCAGAGGCAGTGTATAGTCGATGCTCTTCTTCAGACTTTGTGACACAAAATCGATTCATAAAAATATACTGCGATTGCAGTCAGAGCTCGAGTCCTGCCTTTTTGTTGTGTTGTTTTGCTTCTCAGATACCTATCGCTGGAAACCGACTCTCAGTCTCTCAGAATCTACTCTCAGACACACTCTCCCTCTCTCTCCCCCTTTCCTCAACACAACTCTCCTCTCAAATGCCATTCAATACTGTTTGCCATAAATTAATGCCATTTCATTACCACTACTATTACATCACATCAGTCTCTATAGCGACACATATGAGCGCAACTGCTTCTCATCATCTCTTTTGCGCTAAATTTCAAACATTGCATAACTATTACGAGGTTTTCGTATTTTATTGAAATATTTCAAACGCTTTATACAAATACAGCATAAATTATATCAAACTCTAACAGTTCTAACGTGTGATGAAAATTATTTGTATTAAATAAAAAATGAATTTTAAAACATAATTAATAAATTTAAATGAGAAGAATATCCTGTTCTTCGTTTCGTCTCTTTTTATTTGCTTCAATGGATTGAAATGAAATTAATTGATTGCTTTTCAATTTGTCAACTTCACAATTCAAATCAATTGCATTTCGCATACAATCTCTCAATTCATCGATATTATAGCCATTTTTAGCGCAAACGCCTATTATTTTGTCGAATTTTATTAATTTATTTGATTTTAAGCACTCGTTTGTAATGCTCTCCAAACCATTTGTCTGAAGAGCTTTGAGTTGTTCACAGAAATGGTAGAATTTGTGCTCATATTCCTTGTTATCCAATTTGGAAACGACTAGAATTGCGGGTTTGGATAGAATGCGGTCGTCGTATAGCTCTAACTCGCGGTTCAATAACAAAAACGTCTCTAACGGTGAGCGTTGAGGCCATTCGGGTCTGTATTTGAAACCATTTATATCGATCACAAACACTAACAGATGTGTCCGTACGATATGTTTGAGAAACTTATGGCCCAAACCTATGTTATTATGAGCGCCTTCTATAAGGCCGGGTAAGTCGGCGACACTCATCTGCCGGTAGTCCTCGAACTCCATAACACCGATATTCGGGTTGATTGTAGTGAACGGATAGTTAGCTATTTTGGGCGACGCCCGGGAGATGGCCTTCAAGAGCGACGATTTGCCCGCATTCGGGAACCCAACCAAACCCGCGTCCGCTATCAGCTTCAGGTCCAATACAATCGACTGCTTCTGACCCTTAAGTCCCAAATAGTTATTGTGTTGATTACCGCCGGTTCCGCCCAAAGCGACCAACACTTTGTCGCCCACTTTGTCCAACTGTCCCAAAGGGCGGCCGTTGTCGTCGAAGACCGTCACACCGACCGGTACTCTCACTATACAATCGGATCCGTTCTCACCGATCACTCGATAGTGAGCGCTATTCTCGCCCGAAGAGGCCATCGCTTTCTTTTTGGTCAACTTCTTGAGTGTCACGTTATCTGCGGCCTCGACGTACACATTGCCACCGCTGCCACCCATACCACCAAACTTTGGCAATCCGTGGCCACCGTTACCACCACTCACTGTCAGTCTCAATGAGTCCACAAAATGCCGGTAACGGTCCTAAAGACAGACACAATAATCGTTACAACACTTCTTCGACAACAATATATTGATGACAAAACAGACCTTAACGTAGACACGAATGGGTGGACACGTCTCTGACTCGCCGTGAAAGTGACGAATTGATCCCAATTTGCATCTTATTATCCGCTTTGCAAACAACGATAACATGTTTTTTGTTGACAATTAAAACAATTAGTCGTTTAATACAAACATCGCTTCAAATCATGTGTTTTTCTCGCAATAGTTTTTCTATGTTTTGGACGTAAATAACGTTTGGTTTCATAACTTATGGCAATAAATGTTTGGTTTATAGCAATGGGTTTGCAGTGAAAGTGGGCTTTCATTTGGCGTTCATTTGGCGGTCGTATTAGACATGAAAAGAGGTGTCGATTGATATGTAAACAAACGATTGTTTGTGTCAATGGTTTTGCGTTTAAATGTCTAATGAATGTGAAGTGAAGTTCACATTGAAATGAATGCAAGCATTGATTGATTTTAGACATGAAAAGAGGTGTCGATTGATATGTAAACAAACGATTGTTTGTGTCAATGGTTTTGCGTTTAAATGTCTAATGAATGTGAAGTGAAGTTCACATTGAAATGAATGCAAGCATTGATTGATTGATTCCCACAATAATTATCTGTCAATCGATTCACACATTTGGAGGCGTTTTGGGTCTAAAAGTGGTATTCATTTGCCTCTCATTTGACATGTATTTGAAGTTAACATTGATTTGACACAAATGGCTGAGAAGAAGAGCTGGTGGTCTAAAAGTGTGTTCAATTGGTCCAACACTTCCGACACGCGAAGACAGTTGCCGTCAACCAGTGCTTTGACTCCGGGTTCGGACCCAAACACCGACACCGAGTCTTATGTGTCCATTGAGTCCAATGACGTCAACACAACTAATCATAACAAATACATGAATCTATTGGTCAAACGGATCCGCAAGAGGTTTAAGATGGCCGGCGATGAGGAGAAGATCGGTTGGATGTCCGACAATAACGCCAAAGAGTGCTACGAATGCGGCGATAAGTTCA